TTTTTTGTGAGAAAAAGCAAAATCCACATCTAACAGGAAAGCGAAGCTCCACTTTCGCAGGAGTTGAACATTTTCACGCTATCTGCTATGCTAGTCAGCGGCCACATGGAAACACCTTGAGCAGGTGTTTCGACGACTTTCTTAGACAGTGTCGATGACTAGAGCACCCGGCGGGTTCTCACTATTGCCCTAATGCTTGTGCCTAGCCTAGAATTTCGTACCGAACATACCGTGAGATAGTCCCAAGACCCGTATAAATCCACTTTTCCGCAATAAATTCTTTGAAGAATAACGACCACAGGGCGATTCCACCTAACCGTAATTAGCTTACTTTCGCCCCTTTTCAGATCTGTATCGCGGGTTCAGTTTGCGGATGTCCAGTTGGAATGCGTCGTGCAGCTCCGACGGATGCCTGCCATTCCGTTGAGTCCTGGAATGTTCCACTTCTCGTTATGCGAAAGGAACACACCAATCTCATCTACAATGACTCATTCGCCAATCCAATGGATTCCACCTACAAGGTTTGTTCCATGTTTCACAAAGGATCGAAATTACTGTGTGGGAAGGGTGGAGAGCACAGAAAAAACTCATACTGTAACAATATACTGTACCAGGTAACATCATGAGATCTCAAATATGACAAAGGAGTCGCGAGTCAGAGCACATTTTTTACATTGAATTAAGGAAACGACCTCAGAGAAACTTCCTCACTGTAACAGCCTTTTTTCACAATGAAGAAGAAAAAAGGCTAGGACGTACCTCCTGGAGCGGTGCTAACATAGACGAGCGGCAGCGCCTCTGCGTCCATTCTCACAACTAAAGCTTAGGATTAGAGCGCAGGCGATCAGGATCGCCGCGGGCTACTCAGTTTTCGGGTCTTCTTTGAGCTATGGCGTTCTATGTTCACTGTGATCTCACGCATTCCAACTTTTCACGCATGGCAGATGGCTCAACCATCGCGGGAAAAACCTCTTAACACAGTTCGAGGCGGCGTGTACTCCCGGCAGTACACGCGGAAACCCCTCTTTTCGGTCATTCGTACAGTATTGCGAAAACACGCGCATATTTTTTGTTCTTTTTGCGACTGATTATATTCTACTTTACACAATTAACACATCAATACGAAGAAAAATTGTGAAAAATAAGCCAAAAACAACGACGAACGTGAGTTCTGGGCAAAATGGCCTCCGCCTCGAATGTGTTAAAGGCCAACTCCGCGGTGGTACATATATTGTGGACAGTGAGGCTCAAGTACATAGCCACAGTCGCTGAATATCTATTGAGGGAAGAAAAAAGCGGAGACTGGTCAGGGCCAGCGGCCATCTCAGAGAAAGACTCAAAGGACACCCTAGGTAAAAACCTGGTAGCCTCCTGGACGAGTTCTGCGGACCTGCTCGTATTATGCTGGGAAAGCGATATCCTGACACGCAATTAAAGGTGTAAAATTGAGATTTGTAAAAGAAAAACAGCTTTGAGCTTCCGTGGGAGGAACAACGGGAAATGTCAGGAGTGCCATTTATGGAGGCGCACAGCGCCTTTGCTCCACTTACGCGAAACCGCCCGAGAGTGGGGAGTATGAGAAGCCTGAGGACCAGACCAACTTGTAAAATGGCAAAATTTGCATTTCTATAGCCACAATTGTTTCTTGCTTGATGATCGGTACTGCGAGGAACCGCCCAACATTAATTACTTTTAGTCAAAGAATAACGTTGAAAACAAAGCCGTCCCATTACGCGCCCAGCCCATAGAGGGAAACTATTTCATACGCTCTCGCTACAAAACTTCGGATTACTATAATTTGGCAAATCGATAAAAACTAATCTTATGAGTCCTACAGCTACATAATTCCCCTTGTTTCAGAAGTACGTTCGGGATTACGAGCGCGGAATCGGCGGATGTTACCCTCACACTATTCTTCGTAACTCCTTTGTCGCCGCTGATGTTAATGAAATCATCAATCCTAGGGTAATTGAGCATTTCCGCTTTACTGGTACAATCAATCTTTATCGAAACTTTTACCATCCGAATTCTTTTCAGATGATGAACGCCAGTTGGGAGAGTGGACTTCTGTTCAACACAAACCAGGTCACTCAGAAGGTCGGTTTTCCTCACATGTTTCATGAGTTTGCTCGATTCTTCCAGCATATGGCGGAGTCGTCTGGGTGGACAGCAGTATGTAGTCTCTTGGTCTAATTAAATTACAGATTATAACTTGATACTGAAGAAAAAAGGCGGAAAAAAGTGACAGAAGTGAAAAAACTCCCTAAATATTTCTCTTGTGGGCAGGGCTGTCGTTCAGGGGCGGGGCTTGTTGTCGACGGTTAAGACCTTGGGAAGTCGGCAAATAGTGCTCCTCAGGAGATGACTTGCGGAGCGGCCATAATCTCACGCAAAGCACGCTATCAGAATAATTGTCGAACCATAAGTTCCAGCTTAGCATCCGTCTACTTTTTTTCTAACATATTTAGTAAACAGTTCCGTTTCTTAACAAACCACATGTGTTTTTTCTCCGCCCACCATATCACCTAATGATCCCTTGGAACGTGTTGCGACCGCGCGCGTCTCATGCTTGCTGAAAAGCATCCTCAATGATTCGCGTTCAATTGAAAAAGTCTATTTCCAGGAGCAGTTCGGGTACCATCAGATGTTTACTATGAACTGGTCCGTTACATTGTTGATCGAAATGGCTATGAAGTCGGCGACAGTGGGTTATATTTGAACGAGTATCAACCGAACCCCTACAAGGCTTGCTTCAAGGTCAGCAGTCGTGTTCTTTTTGGTTTTTAACAATCAATTATTCCGAATCTTCCAGAACGACTGTCACCCCAAGGGAATCTGCTATGACTTAACAGATCGCACTTATCGATGCGAGTGTGGAGCTGGATTCCGAGATCTCGATCCTTCTGATCCTGGAAAGAAATGTGTCCCTGTTTATGGATTTAATGAATGCGAGAAAAAGGTACAAAGCTCATCCATATATTGGAAAGAGCATGGTTGATTTAATCTTTTTCAGGAGGACAACGAATGTTCGGAAAATGCTCGCTGTATCGACCTTGAGCACCTGTACAAATGCGAATGCTTGCCATCGTATTCGGACGCTGCTCCACCAGGAGCTGTTCCAGGTCTTGTCTCTTCCTCGCTCATTCTTCGGACCAAACCCAGTAAACCCGCCTTTCAGGATCCGTCTGCGTTCTGGACTACTGCAGTGATGTGAACTTCTGCCCGACAAATACCACATGTAAGAATATGGAGCAGCAGGCCGAATGCCGATGTGACCCTGGATTTACCGACATCAGGTAAGGGTTCACGTAGACACTCACCTTCTGTCCTGTGTATGACGCTCATATGATTCCAGAAAAAGCGAGAATCGTAAATCCATTGGACTCAGCGACGACACACTGTGTATGCATGTGAGGGACGTGAACGAATGCGCTCTCGGACTCACCAACTGCTCAGGTAAGCTTCTACGCAAGTGTTCTCGTGTATCTACGCAGCTTAACGCGAGTGCAACGCTCCTCACATTGCGGTTGACGTGTGTTTTTACTAGAGACGGTGGGACATCACAATGATGCAGGTCATCTCGTGAAATGCGTAAAT